ACTCAGATCCTCCCTTTGGGTACCCTGAATTCAAAGTCACCTCCAGGAGAAGGGGTGGGGAGCTCACTCCCATTTCCAGTATCTTTCCTGGTATTTCAGAGTGAGCACACAGAGCAGGGCTTCTGCCTGAGCTTCTTGCCACCCTTCTAGTGCCCAAGGGCCCGGGCAGCGGACAGCTGGGAGGTGAGGAACCCGGTCGTTCCTTCTGAACAGCCCTGAATCTACAGACAAGGAGGGAACTGGGAAGCCCAGAGCTTTGGCAGCAGCCCCATCCCCAGTCCATTCACAGAGCAAGGTCCTAGCAGCAGAGAGGAAGCAGGAGCCCCGGCAGCAAACATGTCCTCACAGGGCTGAACTCACTCGGTTCAGCAAGGCCAGGCAGCCTGAGCGGTGGGCTCACCACACCCTATCACAGGCCCCTGCTGAACAGACCCAGGAGCAGGGTGTGCACACCGGGGCCAGCTGCACCCCTCGTTGCCTTCAAGGGGCAGCTCCACGTGGACCCCACAGACGCTGAGTGAACAGCCCGGTCTGGGGCGCACAAGCCTCCGTGCCTGCCTGCGTGGAGCCTGGACCCAGGGCGGATCTGCCCTCGCCAGCCCCTCAGGCCGCGCCCTCCTCAGCTCCGACAAGCAGATCTCTCCAACAAGCCTAAATGAATGATTCGAGGCAGATGGTTCATTACGGCTCTAGCCAGGGTTATGCTATTTGCTGCCCTAATTATTGGATTATCTCTTCTGACAAAAAGAAATTAGGGCGGTTGCTCTGTTGTCCTGGGCTGACAGTTTATTTGTTTGGCCTTTTTTTCCCCTTCTCTTTAAACGTCATTCTTTAAGTCACCTCAAGGCACAAGCGCGAATTTCCCGTGGTGTGGGGGATGTAAGAGGCGTGAGGATGGAGAGAAAGGGGTGGACACTTGTGTCAACACTGCCCTGCCTGGCTCCCGTCCCTGCTCGGGCTCACCCCTCGGGGTTACCCACATGGGGCCTTGGCTGAGCTGGACCCCACGGTCCTCCAGACCCCTGGGCCCTGCACCCCACACCTGTGCCTGTGCACAGACGCCCCGCCCGAGAAGCCCTCCCACCCAGGCTCCATCTCTGGCAACCCCTCCGCTCCCAGAGCTGCAGTGACTGGAGCGTGTTGGGTCCCGGGACCAGAAAGCTCAAGCACCAGGGCGGCAGCAGCGCATCAGCACATCAGCAGCCGTGGTTCTGTCCGTCTCCAGCACACCGTGCTCTTGTCCTCCTCGGAGGACCTCCCTCGGGGCCCAAGGTGGCTGCTGCCGTCCAACCATCACGTGGAACTTGTGAGAAGTAACAAAGATTCTGAATTTGATAAGGACCGTTTTCCCCTCCCAGAGACCCCTCCCAGAGTCCACGGGAAACCTGGCCTTCGGTCTCGTCGGCCAGACCTGCCTCACGCCCACGCCTAAATCTGCCCCCCTGCATGATTCACTCCTGGCTGGGTCAGGACTGACCCCTGAGAGGCCCAGAGCAAGGAGAAGTAGCAGGATCACTGCGAAGCCTGCCCCGAAAGCCCTGAGCAGGGCCCACTTCCCAGGTCCCACAGGAATGCGACGCTCCCATTTTTGCACCTGGTCATGTTCCGTCCAGATTGGTCTTCCTGTCTTCGACATTACAAGACCACCTGTGTATCAGTCACTGTGCTGGGCACAGAGATGCCAGGGTGTCTGAGACAATCTCCGATTCCGGGGAGTTCAGGAGATGCCTAGTAACCTGGCAGTGGGGACAGGGAAGCAGGAACCCAAATGGGGGAGGGGCCTCGGCTTGCCCAGAGTTCAGGAGGGGAGGGCTCAGATCAGAAACTGGGGTGGGAGGAAGCAGCCTGGCAGAGGAGGAAGGGGAGGGAAGTGCTCCTGGCAGATGGACTTGGGGGTACAGAGGCCCAGAGATGGAGGAGACACAGCTCAGTGGTGGCCACATCAGTGCAAGGGGCTAACACAAGGGGGGAGATGATGAGGTGAAAGGGCCCCTCACTGTGGTCTTGAACCTCACACCAAGGAGGGTGATGACCCCAAGTCCAGTGGAGAATCTTTGAACAATGTAAGGCAGGGAATGAACAGATTGATGAACACCCTAACCCCTTGCTTCTGCCCTGCCGGGATGTAGGGGTAGATGGCTCATTCCTCTCTGTAGCCCCTTGGTGCCTCAGTTTCCCCAACTCAAATGCTTTCAACTCAAATTTGATCATTTCCTGTGGTTTTTGTCATCATTTTTTAATAAATCTATTGGAAAGGTTAACATTTTTCTTAAAAAAAAAAAATGAGGGGAGGTTTCCTACTCCCAAGGGTGCGTGGACGAGGAAAGGCCAAGCAGCCCAAGGTCAAAGTGATGCTGTCCGTCCCCATCAGCAGAGCAGAGGGAGGTGCAGCCTCACAGGAACCAACAGGGATTTGAGCTTGATTTTCTCTGAATTAGCCCCATTAAAGCTCTATAATTATCAACAAGCGGGTGACAACTCTCAAGGGCCCATTAGTGACCAGCCGTCATTATTTTTCCAAAGATGTAAACTTTCGCAGGGGCATGTGATTTGAGTGGCTGGGGCAGGACCCCGTGGCTCACACAGACAAGCTTCGCCTGCCCTGGGGGGCCCATTTTTCTGTCTTTTGTTTCTCCTTTACATGCTCCTAAGATTTCGGCTAAAAAAAAAAGTAGCAGACAAAAATAATTTGTAGCCACTAGGCTTCAAGGCGGAAACTACCAGGAAATAAAGAGCCCTCATTTCTGGGTCCTGCCCCGCTATGCCACCCTGAGCAGTCACCTCCCCTCTCTGGGCCTCAATTCTCCAAATGGGAAACAAAGACTTCAGACTAGAAGCTCCTGACAGACCTCTACTACCAACAAGTCTCTAAAATTGATGATCAAGGTCGTATTTAGAAACTGGCATTTCTTCCATCGAATTCAAAGAAATGCACCAGTCCCACCCTGAGGGGGCCCCAGGTCCCTTTCCTGCCCGGGGAGTGAGGACAGGTTGGTGTCACCACGCAGCATCCAGGCTCCCTAAACAGGGGTGTCTGTAGAGCCAGGGGAAGGCTCCCCACCCTCCTGGAGCGGAGTCCCTGGTGGGCAGCGAGCCGCTGGTCTCTGGGGCTGAGCAGGCGGCCGTGGCGGAGTGTGTCTTCTGTGTGAACTCGCAACCACTCCTGAGGGCCGGCGGGCTGGCTGCCCCAGACACCTGTTCTCTGCTGCTGTCACCGGCGTGAGGCCTGGTGCCTGCCCGGGAGGCTGATGTTGTGTGTGAGAGTCAGCAGCCTGGGTGACCTGTAGAAAGGTATGGACACAGGGCGCTTGGGCCCTGGGCTGTGCTGGTTGCTACAGGCACCTGGTGTCTGCTTGCCTCCTGCACCCCAGCCACCCACCCCCACCCCAGAGTTGGAGCTAGGAAACAGGCAGATAAGGCCAGACAGGTTAGCACTACCTGCTCTACCCAGGGAAAAGGGCTTCAGGCACCGCCCAGGCCCATGGACCCTTAATTTGGACACAGCGCTAAGTATTTTCACCTGCTTTCATAGAGGAAGCTGTCTTCAATGGTTACTGAGTAAGAGGGAGAGCTGTTTGTGCTGCCAGAGGCCGGGAGTTGGGAGTCAGGAGTTATAAGCTGATGGCAGAAGAGGAAGCATAAAAATGAAGCCCTCAAAAAGAGTGGCCACCTGGGAGCCGTCGCACCCCCACTCCGTGTCTGCGCTGTGCCTGTGATACACGGGATAATCTGGTGGCCGTAGCAATGCTTCGGGTTTTTTGGAAAAGTATAAGTGACTGTTTGTATATTTGATTCGCAAAAGCTGGGGAAAATATGATTCAGCTTGGACCAAGCCGTCTCAGAGGAGAATACAGCGTTCTAGCGAAATCACCTAAGCAAAGCTATAGAAGGGTTTATGGTGACTACTGATCGTGAAAGCACAGTGCAGTGAGGTGGGTGCTGTTGTATCTCCGTTTTGCAGATGAGAAGACTGAGGCACAGAGAGGCTAGGTAAGCTGTCTTAGGCCACACAGCAAGGAAGTGCAGTCAGGATTTGACATCCTGCTCCCCACACTGTGCCTCCCTGTCCCACCCCAGCAAGGACAGAGACACTGAGCTGTGTGCCTTGTGCTGTTACTACCTGGGAGCAGACAAGCTCAGCCCTACACACATGGGTCTGAACACATCCATTTCTCTGCAGACTGCACCTTTACCATGTGTGGGCCCTGCGCCGGCCCAGGGATCTGCGGGCCACATGGTCCCTGCAGTGGCACTCAACTCTGACACTGTGGCTCACCACCAGGCAGCCATGGACGCAAAATGAAGAGATGGACCTGGCAGGCTTGGCCAGAGGACCACCGCTGTTGTAGACCCAAGATGGGCACCCCAGCATCAAGGACAGAAGTCTGCCCTCCCCCCAGCCCCAGTCCAGTCACTCAGTGCCCAGGGGTCAGTTTGGCCTGTGACTGAAATGCCCCTTCCCTAGCCCCAGTGCACTGGCTAATTCCTACTCATCCCTCACGGCTCAGGAGAAATGTCACCTCCCCAGGAAACTTTCCTTGATGTCCCTGTTTCACCATGATCCCAAACACCTCGCCCCTGCTCTTGGCCCAACACTATTGTGGCAAATTCTTTTGTTTTTTAAAGATTTGTTTGTTTATGCTTACAGAACTGAGGTATAGGCCAGAGGTGTGGTGGGTGAGAGCATTCACCAGAGACAGAGCGGGGAGCAGACCAGGCCGACTGACAAGCACACTGCTGAGGGGAGCAGCGGGCGGGTCAGGAGAGGTCTGCTGCGCCATGTGGGTCACCTCGGGGGCTCAAGCCCGTGCTGCAGGGGCTTCCCAGAGCTTCACAATGCGGTTCTGTAACCCGTCACCCCACCAGGGAGAGCCCCTGGCAAATTCTTTTCACCTGTTCCTCCATTAAGCTGCGCTTTCCTGGGGCTCCTCCTAGAGTCTGCACATTGTAAACACTTGGTAAAGAACAGGCTGGAGAGTAAAGGGAAGGGGGTGGGGGAGATGGTGGCAGGTAGGTAGCTGGGGCTGGGCGGCTGCAGACATCCTGTGACTGCATCTTGTCTCCCGACTCGCCCTGGACCCGCCACACCCGGCCGTCATGCCAGGAGCTCTGGCCGGTGGCAGGCACAGCAGCTATGTGAGTGCGCCTGAGGGTGGCAGCTGCCCCCAATTCCGCCCCGCCCTGCTGCGCCCTGGGGAACCGCCCTGGGCCTTTAAGGAGCTCTGGACCCGGATGAGGACCCAGCCGCTTGCTCCCTCCTGGCAGCACCGGACCCATGCCTCTGCCGGCGCTCGCGGTTCCTGTAACATTTAACAGATGAGGGAAACTGAGGCATGGAGCCCAGGCTGGCACAGGAGAGCATGGGGTCCAACTCGTGTGGGCGCCAGCTAACCTGGCTGAGGTGGTGCGGCCCCAGCGGGGCGCGGCCCTGCTGTGGAGCAGCCAGGGTGGCTGGGGACCGGCCTGACCTCTCCGAACCTCAGCTCCCCTCACTGGGAACATGGAGACGCCCGACTGGCTTCCCAGGGCCCGTGGGACCCGGAGCTGGGCGCGGGCTGGCAGTCGCCCTGAGGGCCCAGGCGGCCGCCAGGGCAGGCTTGCCCAGCAGCAGGCACGGCCGACTCCTGGTGTTGGGCGGCCCTCCTCCGTGCTCTGGCCACTGTGACCGGGCCCTCTCGTCCGCAGCTGCCCTGGGCACGCTGGACTTCAGCCTGCTCTACGACCAGGAGAACAGCGCCCTACACTGCACCATCAGCAAGGCCAAGGTAGGCCGGGGCCACACCCGGGGCTGTGGGCGGTGAGGGAGCCAGGAGGCCTGTTTCCTCTCCAGCCCTCATGGTGCAGGTGTGGGTGTGCGGCCAGGAGGGAATTTTGCCTCAGTCAGCCCAGCTGGGAGAGCAGAACAAAGGGAAGGAGGCCCCAGGCCAAGGCCGGGTGGAGCTCAGTCTCCCACTGAGAGCACAGCTCTGGATGCTGGGACGGAGGAGGACTCTGACACCCTGGGGCGCCCAGCCTCAGGGCCTGGGGTTGGAGTCAGGCATCTGTAGACCCACCGGCCCCTTGGGCAGACACCTGTGAGCTCTGTGTTCTCAGTCACACGGTCCTCTGTCCCATCTCACTGCTCCCTCCGGGAGGAAGGGGCCAAAGTCCATGTTCTCTCCCAAGGTCAGGGCCACTGTGTGGCCTGGTCGCGCCTCCCGGAGCTCGGGGCCCAGACTCCTCCACCCCAAGCCCCTGACTCCTGACCTGTGAGCTTTCCCGCCGCTCTCCTACTCTGCTGTGCCCTAGCAGGCACTGCCCAGCCGAGCCCCCCTGCCTGGATGGCCACACCTGGCTGTCCTGGGCTGCCCTGGGCAGGGGTGAGTGGTGTCCACAGTGGCGCCCTAGAGGCCATCCCCGTCCTCTCCTTTGGCAGCTGCTGGGCTGTGACGTGGGGTCACTCAGCCTTGCCATGAAAGAGCTGCCCACCTGCCCAGGGCAGAGTTGACTGTTTGGCAACCCCTCACTGCACCAAGGTGGGGGCTGGGCTGTGGGGCTGGGCAGACCCCTGCTCTCCCACCAGCAAGCCGGCAGAGGTTGTCCAGGCTTGGGCACTCAGTGGGCACTGGCTGTTCGGCCACTGGCCAGAGCCATCTGTTCCTTCTGAGAATCCCGGACACCGGGCCCCTCCCTGTGCTGTGTGCACCCACCCCCTCACCCGCACCCTGGCAGAGCCGAATGGGGGGGCGGGGGTGTGTGCGCCCTTGTGCGTGTGCCACTCAAGGCACTGGACATGGGAGATGGAAGGACTTTGAGCCGTGGCTGCGCCCCCATTCTCCAGGCCATTCCCTGTTTACATCCAGTTCTGCCTGGAGAGAGGGGGTGCAGGCGTGGAAGGATCTGGGTTCCTGTTTGGGGTGTGAGAAACCCCTGGAGGTGGGAAGGCTGAAGCAAGGCTGACAGTGAAGCCCCTGAAGTGGGGAGCAGCCACCTCAAACCCATCTCATCCCCCTCCTGGGGGCACAAACAGGGTGGGGGAGGCCCAGAGCCCTTTGGAGGTGGATCTGGTGACCAGCAGCCAGCTCTCAGCTCCCCCTCAGGGATGGCACCAGGTTGCTGCTCTGCCCCTGCCAGCCACCGCTGCGTCCTACAGCCCCACGCACCATCCCAGAAAACAGAGGTGATCAAACGAGCAGGCATGAGGTCAGCTAAGCCCCTGTCTGTTCTGTTCCATCGGTTCCTTGGCTGTGCAGAGTTGGCCAGGGCTGCCATCTTGTGGAGGGACCCTCCACGGCCAGCCAGCGGGCAGCCTGTGCAGACAGACCGGCATGGCACTGTGGAGAGTCAGGGGAAATGGACCCTGGTCCCCAGGACATGGGACATTTTCCCATGGCCACAAGGGGAAGCACGTGGATGATCTGATGGGGTTTAGAGATTTGGGGCAAGTGAGGGAGGGACGGGCCTCCCTAGGCTGGGCACTGCTTCATCAGACCAAGGTGAGTCTCCTGGTCCGTGAAGAGGACAGAGAGAAAGGCTGGTCTGGCAGGCACCCCATGGCACCTGCCCTGGGTCAGGACTTTGGTGGGGAGAGAACATTACACCCGTTCTGAGACCTCCTCGCGCCCCGACTAGGGGGCTCCACTGAAGAGGGCCGGGGACGAGGGCTGTGCGGCGCTGTCCCTGACCCCCTTTACACCTTGGCTGTTCTTTGCTCAGGGCCTGAAGCCGATGGACCACAACGGGCTGGCAGACCCCTACGTCAAGCTCCACCTGCTGCCGGGAGCCAGTAAGGTGAGGGGGCCCCTGGGCCTGCAGCTAGCACGGTCCCTGTGGCCGGGACCCAGGCTGGACTCAAGGCCCCAAGGAGACCACAGCCCCTCAGCGCTCAGTCAGACTGCGGGGCCTTCCCCCGCGTGTCCCAGGGCCGCCAGTGGCACTGTCTGCCTGTAGAACAGCCCCTGCTTCTCACTTGTAAATAGGCTTGAGTTGGGGGACCCCTAGAGAATTTCCAGTCAGAGTCTTAGGAAAGTTGTCTCAGAAGTTAACATTTTGTGCTGTGGCCAGATAATGCTGGGAAACAGATGTCTCGGTTGTGGGACTTATCAGCGCCTTTAATGTGCGGGTGGGCTGCTCTGTGAGACTCGCAGCATCCAGTGGGCTGTGTCTGCCGATTTATTTGACCACAGAACCGTTCCTGTGCCAGGCCAGCCCTGTTCATGACTAGGGCATCAGCCCAACATTTGCATCGAGGAAAGGAGAGAAATTATTCTTAGAAAAACTGCTGTTGAACACAAGCATCAAGGTGGCCCAAGCACTCAAAGATCCGAGCTTGACTAGACTCCCTTACATGTGTCAGTGTGTGTAATTTCTTGGACAGAGAGTTCACATATCCCCACAGCTGGTCTTCCGCGGCCCCCTAGACATTTCGAGGGGCAGGATGTGTACAAGGGGGATCTGAAGTCCAGCAGCTTTGCTTCCCAGTGGGGTCCAGAGGAACACAGGACATGGCAGCGTGAGCAGCAGAGCATGGCGGCTGATGTTCTTGTCTGAGCTGCTTTCTCAGGAGCTAATAATTGGAAAATCCTTCTGGCCCTCTGGTGGCTTGATGGGGAGGAGGGGTGAGCAATGGGTGTGCCCTCTGGGTAGAGGCCTCCCCGTCACTGCTGGGGGCAGTTCCAGGCTGACTGGCCAGTCCCATGACCACTGAGGCAGCCATGGGCTGTCTGGCCTGAGCTGACTCTGGGGCCCAAATCCCTGAACCTGAGTGCAGTGCTGGGTGGAGGGGATGGGGGCAGGGCTGATGGAAAAGCTGCTGTTCCCTCTCCACACTCAGAAAAGGGTTCATCATTCCAGGCCTCGATGTCCTCATGTTACAATGGTCTCCTATGGCTTTGAAGGCTCAAGAGCTCAATAACTGAGTCCTCAGCCAGCTGCTGGCTCATAGGGCGCCCCCCGGGACTTCCTGCATAAGGCACATCTTAAAAGTGCAGTCTTCTTATATAGGAGGCTCCTAAAAACTGCTGAGGGGTTTCCTGAACCACAGCTCTCATGTATGTAGTAGAGTGGGGATTCAGACCCAGGGCTTCTTGACCTCAATCTGTGGGCTGGTATAGCAGGTATCAAAAGGAATTGGGCACAGAGCTTGGAATCAGAGGGTACAAGGCCCAGCAGGGTCTAAGAGCCAAGATCTCCAGAAGCGCAGAGAAAGGAGTAGAAGCCACATACCAGCTTGGGCAGGCCCCCTACAGGTGTTTTCCAGGAGAAGTGATATTCCAGGCATACAGGGAAAGCCTGAGCAGAGACAGGCATGACGTATGAGGTTGAGGGTTCAGCTCCACTGCCCAGGCCCCAGCAGTTCCTTCCTGGAGAAAACACACACACACACACACGGATGGAGAACACACACACACCCAAATTACACACACACACGATTAACACACACACGTAGGCCGGATTAACACACACACACGCCAGATTAACACACACACATACCCAGATGAAGAACACACACACACCCTGGATTAGTTTCCTTGGGCTGCAGTAACGCGTTCCCACCAGCGACTTCCAGATTCCTTGGCTCATGGCCCTTCCACTGTCAAAGCCAGCCTTGTGTCTCTCTGCCTTCCTCCTCCTTATTTTTTTTAGATGTATGTATTTATGCATTCAGAACTGGGGTGCAGGCCAGAGTGCAGGGGGTGAAAGGATTCACCAGAGACAGAGTAGGGAGCAGAACAGGCAGATTGAGAAGTACACCCTGCTGAGGGGAGCAGCAGGCGGGTCAGGAGAGGTCTGCCACGCCATGTGGGTCAGCTCCGGAGTGGGGATCCAACTCGTGCTGCAGTGGCTGAGGACAGCTTCATTGTGCTTTAACCCACTGCGCCACCAGGGAGGGCCCCCCTTCTGCTTTTAAGCACCCTTGTGATTAATTCCACCTGCAACCTGAGAGAAAGCAAGCGGACACTTCCCTGGTTCTAGGGCCAGGCCATGGCGCATCTGGGGCTTCTCTCCTGCCTGCCACACTCCATGTTCATTGGCTCACTTTTGCTTCCTCCAGGCAAATAAACTCAGAACAAAAACCCTCCGAAACACTTTGAACCCCACATGGAATGAGACCCTCACTTACTACGGGATCACAGATGAAGACATGATCCGAAAGACCCTGCGGTGGGTGAGGCCCCGGGCCACAGGCTCCCCCCGCCCCTAGTCCCGGTCACGGGCCGGCCTGACACGCCATGCTCACCGGCCGTCCTCCGTGACCTGAAAGCAAGGTGAGCGCCCCAGAGTCTGTAGAGCTGACCGTGTCTTGCCCTCCAGGATCTCCGTGTGTGACGAGGACAAGTTTCGCCACAACGAGTTCATCGGGGAGACGCGAGTGCCCCTGAAGAAGCTCAAACCCAACCACACCAAGACGTTCAGCATCTGCCTGGAGAAGCAGCTGCCGGTGAGTGGCCGTGGCTCCCCTGTGGGCCCTGCTGGTGCCCTGGGCCGGGCTTAGAGCACCCGCTGGGCACCCACACGCTGCATGTACCTGGGGAAACTGACAAAAGCCCCTGCCCTGGCGAAGCTTGGGCAGAATGAGCTCGATCACCCAAACACATCACGTGAGACAGTGACCAGGGAGGGCCAAGAGGGCAGACCTGAGGAGTGGGGGGAGGGTGCTGGGTTACGGGGGGGCTCTGGGAAGGATTCGCTGGGCAGACAGAGACTTCTAGGCAGAGCAGCAAGTGCCAAGCCCCGTGTAGGCTGGAGGAGCCACAGCTTTGGTGAAGGGAGGGCGGGAGGTGTCCTGGGAGCTGGGAGGGGAGGGGAAGGGGTGCAGCGGCCAGGAGCAACACAGGCCTTCGGCCTTCCTGGGCAGGCAGGGGAGACACAGGCAGGGCTCAGCGCATTGACCGCGGTGTAGTAGGCTTGCCAGGCCCTGAGGGGGTGGGAAGGTGGGGGAGCAGTGAGGAGAGTGGGCCGGGCCTGGCTGGGCCACAGTGGAGGGAGGCTGGACTCCGCTAGGCCACAGGGGATGAAGGGGCCGAGACTGTGCTGCGGGGAGCATGGGCGGAGCAGCTGGGGATGTGCAGGAGTTCAGCTGGAACACGGGAGGCGGGTGAGCCCGTGACATCCCCAGAGGAGACAGAAGATAATTATTTCCTAGAAATCACTATTGTTTGGAAATGCTGTCAAAGCCAATTTGCAGCAGCTGGCCTCCCAGAGCCTCACCCCACTTCTCTCCCTCCCCACCTCTCTTTTCCTCCCTCTCCAGAGGCCTCTTTCAACTGGTTCAGAGGGCCCAGAGGGCTTGTCCAGGAGACCCCAGAGTCCTGAGAAACCTGGGCCCTCCGGCAGGCAGCCCAGTGTTCAGGGCCCAAACACAAGCCCCTTTGGGGATGTCTTGGCCCCTTCCTGGACAAGGGGGAGAGCTTGGCGCATGCGCTCAATGCATGCCTGGGTCGGCCCTGGGAACTGGCCAACCGCTTCCTTCTGAATCCCAGCTGTCTCTTTGCTCAACTCGATCAAATCTGATTCCTTTGTCACATTCTCTCCCACTCATAGGCATTTATGTGATGGATATAACCTTTATTTTATTATTAGTCACTAACCACAGGTGACCCAGTTTTCTCAAATGATCTATGTCAGTTATAAAAGGCAGCATCAGCTCCTACTTAGCGGTGTCCCTGAGTTTCAATCCTTGGCATAAGCAAATAACCGTGCGTGTGTGTGCTCACGTATTCAGGCTCAAGGACCCATGCCTGTCCCTGCTGTACGGGGGAGCGTGTCAGGTTCTGCTGAGCCTTGCTTGAATCTGCCAGGACTCCACTTGGGGGGATCCACAGTGACCCCCAGAGTGTGCTTGAGCTGTGGCGTGGTAGTCCATTCTAGATTTTATATCATCTGTAAACATTATCCGTTCTCAGTAAATGCTGAACAATATGCCTAGTTCCATGTCTTCACAGAAAAATATCCAAAGTGTATCCCACATTTTTAGCTTCTGATTGATGTTGTTTCACTTTTACATTGTTACCAGGCCAACACCAAAGTCCCCGTCCAGTAGTTCAGTCACATGTTCCTAATCTGACCGTTGGCCGTGGCTGGCTGAGCACTGCTGAGAAAGATGCTGAGGCTGCACTTGAAGTTGGGGCGAATGCTGTGCTCAGTTGGCCATATCTGCTGCGGACATGGAACTGGGGAGGGCGCCCTTCCCCCCCTTCCAGAAGCCCCTTGTCCAGGGAGGTGTTGGCCCATTTGAGCAGCCACTCAGGGCGTGACCTCTGTGCCAGGCAGAGGACAGTCATGCGCAAGAGTGGGGCCGAGACTGCATGAGAAAGAGCACGGGTTACACTAAGGGGGGCTCCTCAGGGGTCGTGGGGCTCAGCTGGGTGTGTCTGGGTGGACAGAAGGAAAAGGAGAGGGGGCTCTAGATGAGCAACAGCCAGAAAAGGTGGAAACAGGTGGTCTCAGAAGGGTGTGGGGTATTCAAACATCAGGCTGGCTGGAGGGAGGGGAAGACCGGCCTAAAATTCAGGTGTGAGCCTAGAGTCAGATCCTGGGCAGCTGCAGGGGCACAGGAGTCCTGAATGACCCCCGTCCCCATCCAAGCTGGCTCTCAGCTCCCCCAGGGCTGCTGTACCAGAAGGTTCTGGTGGTACCTCAGTGTGACAACTTGCGGTTCACTGGGCTCCATTTGGTCTGGGCCCACGAACAGCCTTGGTGACTGGTAACTGAGAGGTGAGGGGAGGTAAGGGGGAGGACCACTGAAGGACTCCTGCCTCACAGGTGGACAAGACAGAAGACAAGTCCCTGGAGGAGCGGGGCCGCATCCTCATCTCCCTCAAGTACAGCTCACAGAAGCAGGGCCTGCTGGTCGGCATCGTGAGGTGCGCTCACCTGGCTGCCATGGACGCCAATGGCTACTCAGACCCATACGTGAAAACGTGAGTGTGTGGCCCCCGCTGGCCCCTCTGTCCTCTCCTCGAGGGACAGGCCCGTGGGATGCAGAGTAGTGAGCGTGGGGGGCACTCGGGTCACGGCGGAAGCTTGCCAGACAGTGTGCTCACTGGGAGGCATTCTCTCCCACATTCCTTTGGCAACACCATCTGACAGGTGAGGAAACTGATGCCCTGTTCAGGGCTTCCCATGATGAAGGGCCCTGGAGGGGCCATGAGGGTTCTGTATGGGAAGGGGCCCTGTCAGGGTGACCAAGAGCCTGGGACCAAGGGCTGCTCATGTGCCCAGGGCCCACCTGGCTCTGCCAGTGGAGGCACATGGTGGCATTAGAGACATTAACGCCAAAGTGGAGGATCTGCTAGACCTGGTTCTGAAGTTTTGACTGCCGGGAGAGGCTGTGATGCAAACTTTTAGGGCCAGAATGGAGCTGGAAACTCTTGGAGAGGGCAAGGCAGGTGTCACAGTGACTGTCAGTATTTGGGGCTCTTCACTCACAGAAGAGACTTGGGGAGCAATTTGCCTCAGCAGAAAGGAGGTGCTCCTGCTGAAGCAGAGTCAGAGGGTTAAGGTACAAAGGTAGGGAAGGGCCCAGGTGACAGAGGCCAGGTGAAGGTCTTGACTCCACAGGGAGGCGGGCACTGCTGTGCCACACAACTCTGAGGTTGCCAGTCCCACTAGCCACCCACGTATTTTTGTTGCTTTTAAAATCAGATGATAAAAATGGTGTAGGACCCACATGGGGCAGCAGATCTCTCCCATCTCACCTGCTGCTCAGAAAACTGACAGTTCCTCAAATGATGAAACATAGATTACAATTTGATCCACTCCTGGATGTACACCCAAGAGAACTGAAGCTGTTTGTTCACACAAAAACTTTTGCATGAATATGCAGTCATATTCATAATGCAGTGGACTATTTGGTCACAAAAAGGAGCAAAGTACTGATTTCTGTTATAGCAATTTAAAGATTTATTTATGCAAAGAGAACTGGGATGTGGGCTAGAAGCAGGGGTGGGAAGTGAGAGGATTCACCAGAGACAGAGTGGGGAGCAGAACAGGCAGATCAACTGAAACACACTGCTGAGGGGGGCAGAGGGTGAGACAGGAGAGGTCTGCTGTGCCATGTGGGTCAGCTCCCTGGCCGGTGATCGAACTCGTGGTTGGTGACAGCTTCATAGCGTTGAGACTTTAACCCCTGCGCCACTCACGAAAAGCCATACATTGTATGATTCTGTTTATATGAAAAGTCCAGAATGGGTAGATCCAGACAGGAAGTGGAATAGTTGTCAGGCGCTGGGGCAGGAGTGACGCTAATGGAACACCAGGTCTCTTTTGAGGGTGCTGAAGATATTCTGCAATTGGTTGTGGTTGATGTTTGTGTATGAATATACTAAAATGCATGAAATTGTGTACTCTTAAAAGATACATCATACAGCATGTTCATTATAGCTCAACAAAGGTGTTATTTTTAACTGCCACCAGGGCCCAGAAGCATTGCCCAGACATAATGGGAATCTCACCGGGGCCCCTTGCATTGCAAAGCGGGTTCCCAGTAAATAGTACAGGAGTTACTGCTTTTCCAAATGAAAAATGAGGAATTGGTCCCCAACTTCAACATTAGCAAAACAATGCTGTAAACATTTAGGAAATAAATGGATGGAGAGCAAATTGGCAGTAGCCAGTAAACTAGGAAAACGTGCAGGCACCAAGCCACATTCTATCTCTTCAGGATTCTAGCCCAGAAATCCAGGCACGCGTGGGTGGAGAGCTGTGGATGGCAGCATGGCTTGGCTAGCAACAAGCTGGGTAGCATTCACCAGCGGAGGAAAAGATGCAGCAGTGTGGCATGTGCATGTAATGGCGCACCATACAGTGACAGTGAGTAAATGAGGACTAGCTGAGTAAACGGGGCAGCACTGCAGAGCTGAGCCCCAGAGCAAACTGCAGGAAGGAACATGTGTGACACCGCCTGTACTTTCTTACATCACGCAGCGCTTTGCAAGGTGGTCGTGAGCAAGGAGGAAAGTGCCTCTACCTGTACCCCTCACGCGAGAGCTCACCCACGGAAGGCACAAGTGCAGTCTGAAGCCAAATTGCTATGAAAACCTGAAAATCGGCTCAGTGTCCGCCTACCAGGTTGACAGGAATTCAGGTCCCACCCTGGGTTACCCAGAAAGCAGGGACTCAGCCAGTACAAGGAGCCCCCAACCCCCACAGAGGCAGGACCTGTCCTCTGAGCCTGAGGCTCCTCCCTGCCAGTGTGGGAACTGTTGAGCCCACTCAGCCATGTCTGCTCTCCAGCTGGGCAGCATGACCTTCCAAAATGGGCAGATCTATATATGAGTGGTTCTCTATATAAGAGCCACACTTGCTTAGGGTCCCCGCCCGGCCTCAAAACCCCCTTGTCTGACTACAGTTCTCTGGGTGAGAGGAGGCCCTGTTCAGGCCTGCTCCAACCTAGCAGCTGAGACCCTGCATGGTCAGTGTCTACTTCACGATTAGCAGAGAAAATAAAGATATCGGTTAGATTCTGAATGGTGTGAACCCCCGAGAGAGCCAGCTAGGGAGACACACACTACATGGCGAATACTAAGGGCAAAGGTAGATGGATCAAAGCCTTGGGTCAGCACCTTTGTTCTTCCTCATTTTATTGAGAAATGGCATAGGTTACCAGCCAGCATGATGCTTTGCGTCACTTATATTGAGGAACAGTGGTCATCTTCTCATAGAAATACAGCAAGGAAAGGGCCCTCCCTAACATCAGGTTAGGACACAGCACTGCAAACAGCAGCCCTTTCAGTGCAAGTTTGATCCCTGCCCCGGAGCTGACCCACATGGCACAGCAGACCTCTCCTGACCCGCCCGCTGCTCCCCTCAGCAGTGTACTTTGTCGATCTGCTGTTCTGCTTCCCACTCTGTCTCTGGTGAAGGCTCTCACCGCCCCTGCACCTCTGGCCTGTACCCCAATTCTGCATGCACAAATAAATTTTCAACAAAAAAACTCTTCCTTATGAGAACTTTGAGGCACCCATTTATTTCCTAAATGTTTACAGCATTGTTTTGCTTAACTTTCCTATATATCAGCAGTGTAGCTGCAGTTATCACCTGGTATATTACATCCTTAGGACTGTATCTTGCAAGTTTTTTAAAAAGATTTATTTATGCATACAGAATTGGGGTGTAGGCTAGAGGTGTGGGGGGTGAGAGGATTCACTAGAGAAAAAGTGGGGAGCAGAACAGGTAGGTGTACTGAAATACACAGCTGAAGGGAACAGCGGGTGGGTCAGGAGAGGTCTACTGTCCCATGTGGGTCACCCCCTGGCCGGGGATCTAACTCGTGGTACAGTGGCTGTGGAGAGCTTCATAGTGCTATGCTTTAACCCATTGAGCCACCAGGGAGGGCCCTATCTTGTAACTTTTAGCCACTTTCTTCTGGTTAACCACAAGTCTGATCTGAGTTTGGGATTTTTTGAACCAGGGTGTAGGCTAGAGGTGCAGGGGGTGAGAAGATTCACCAGAGACAAGAGTGGGGAGCAGAACAGGCAGATAGGCTGAAAAACACTGCTGAGGGGAGCAGTGGACAAGAGAGAAGTCTCTGTGCCATGTGGGTCACCTCCCTGGTCGGGGATCGAACTTGTGCCATTAGCTTGATAGTGCTGACGTTAACCCCTGCATCACAGAAAGGCCCTGGGCCTTTATTTTAGATTGCGTATATGACATCACATGGTATTTGTCTGACATTGCACTAAGCATACATAATTCAAGGTCCATCCATGTTGCCCTGAATGGTGGGATTTCCTTATTTGTTTTTGGGCTAATATTCCACCGCATATAAAGATGTGTGCCTTTCCAAACTGCCAAAACAAAACAGGCAAAGAACAAGTCAATGCAAAAAGCCAATAAATAGCAAAATGGTTGGCAAGAATATGAACGCTTATAGGGAAATGAAACAAAATCCACCATTGCGGGTGAGAAATTAATGCAATGTCCTCTACCCCCTCTTGCCAAACTTATTTTTAAAAGTCAGGTTTATCAATTGAAGTTCTGACTTAAAATTTTGAAGGTTGCTGACTTACAATCTTGTTACTAACACCACAGTCAAGATTTAGAATTGCCATGTGTCAGCTCCCTGAACTCATGCTGTAGTGGCTTCATATTGCTGTCTTAACTGTTATGCCACCAGAGAGGGCCCTATTTGTTTTCTCTACCAGACTTTCTCATAAAGGAAACAACCACACAGTACATGGCCTTTTAAATCTAGCTGCTTCCATGTCACATGAATGCACTAGTCACCCACGTAGTCGTGTATCAGTAGTTTGGTTAGTAAGTCGCCGGTCAGTTCACTCGATATAAGTGCATTTGTGATGATTAGTTGCTTTAAAAAACGGCTTTGTGTGGACCTATGCCTTCATTTCCTCCCCAGCTCAACTTTGGTCAATACATATTTTCCAGTGTTTCTATCATGAACTTGTAAATTGTTACAAAAATAATACAAAGTCAGCTAACAATGAGATACCACTTTCTCCTCCCAAGCCAACAAAGATTTTCAAAGTACTCAGCATTGTGAGGACATGTGTCAACCAGTCTTTTTGGAGGACAGTTTGAGGAAATGATGTGAGAAGTTTGATGTGTTTCTCTGGATGATAAATTCACTTCTTGAATATATCACTTATTCAAAAGTTTATGGAGCTACCAGGTAATAAGCTAGGTGCCAGGAAACTGGTGGTGGATAAGAAAGATGTGGTCGTTGCCCCCAGAGCACTCTCAGAATAGGCAGGACAATTGTCCTGAAATGAGAAGTCCTACAACAGAAAAGGTCTTGTCCTGGCTTCGGACACCAGCCCTCTGGAGACCAGCTGTTCTGCATCTAAGTCTCAAGAGCTAATGAAGAGGAAGAGGGGGAGGAGCTTAAAAATCCAGGTTTTCTTCCCTGTGGGAAGAACTGTTACTGCCCAAAAAGCCTTTTCCCTTTCTCAAAGCTTCACTGATGTTGCACATACTAAATTTATTAAACAGATGCATTTTATATGCCTCAATAAACCTACTTTTTAAAAAAATCTAGAAAGGAATCAACTCTGCTAAAAATGCTTTTCTGTTGAGGTGATAGGAACTTCGTGAAAATTAGACCTCTAGGAACAAGGGAAGTCCTCTTTCTAGTGGGAATGGGTGGGGCAAGGTCTGTGGTAAACTTCATGAATGGGTAGGTGACTAGAGCCCAGGAGATGAAGAAACCACTTCTTTCAGCACAACTGACTGCACACCTTTGCCACAAGTAGTGTGCCAAGGAGCCTGAGAATTAGGATGAGTGGGATGTCCAGGGGAAATCCTGCAAGGATAATAAGCTCTTCTAAAGCCTTGCTGGTTCCCTCTGAACCCATAACTTCTCCCTACCCTCTCCCTGTCTATGGGTTACAATTCCAGATACCTGAAGCCAGATGTGGACAAGAAATCCAAACATAAGACAGCGGTAAAGAAGAAGACTCTGAACCCAGAGTTCAATGAGGTAGGAGGGGCTGGTGAAGACAGTGGGCGACATTGAGTCTCCTCCCCCTTCACCTCCCAGGAAATCCTGGGGGGTGTTCACAGAAAGTGGGCAGGGGTTGACAGGACAGCCCCCAGATGGAGAGGTCAAGGTGGTAGGGACAGGGGAGGAAGCAAGGCCTGGAAATCTCTTCAGAGGATCTGCATGAAAGAATGGTGGCCATATTTGATGTGGAGGTGGGAGGAGAGGGAGGTGGGGGAGGGTTGCTGCAGGTGTATAGCCAGACCCTTGGGCACCACGTGGGCGCCGTGGAGAGGAGCTCCAGGGAAGGAGAACCTGAGGACAGGTCACGGCAGCAGGAGAGAGACTGCCAAAATGGGGGCGAGACCAGATGTTAGAACATCCTGGAAGCTGTTGAGATAGGTTTCCACAAAAGGAACTAGCAGAGCCAGACCCAGGGGAGATCTGCATACGAAGGCCACCAGTGTCCGCTGGTTTGAAATAAAGGGCTTCTCCGGCATCTTGAGGCACTAGCTACAGGTAGCGGGAGTGGTGGATCCCAGCCAGGCTGTCAGAAGTTGATGAGAATCCGCCATCCTCCCAATTCACACATTCCTGAGTCATCCCCTCACCACACCCCGGAGCCCTACTAGCCATGTGACATTGACCAATTATCCCCTTCTGGCCACCAGGAGTTCTGTTATGAGATTAAGCATGGGGACCTAGCCAAGAAGACTCTGGAGGTCACCGTTTGGGATTATGACATTGGAAAATCCAACGATTTCATTGGTAAGAGGACATGAGAATGCCATTAAACCACATGGGGTTCATCCAAGGGCAGTGGGCCTTGAATCAGGCCGCAGCCCCACCTCCCAAACCTTTGGGGAAAAACTGACTTCATAGATCACCTTCCCCACACGATGTGAGTATCCTCCTCATGCACTGTCCCACCTGTATCTATGTGAACGAGGCAAAGACAGACCAAAAGCAGTACGGAGGCCTGGGAGGGTCACACCTTGGGCTGGACTAAGAACTGTGGCCCTGGTAGCTGTGCACAGTGGAGCTATCCTGGCCCTTTCTCCTCAGCTCTTGACCCATAACACTAACCACTAAGCTCCACCCCGGCAGTGCTCTGGTCTTGGATAAAGAGCTGGACCCAGGGCCTGTGGAAGCCTAAAGTATGGCTTGGTAAGCAGAATACTATCCACCCTCAGAAGCCAGTGGGCAGAGTAGAGTTTGGACTAGAAGCACAGAATTACAAGATGGAGCACAAATCCCAAGCACCTGTCCTCAGCCCTTCAGCCAGGAGGTTGCTGTGTCCCTGACCTCCCCGCTTCTTGCAGGTGGTGTGGTCCTGGGCATTAATGCCAAGGGCGAGCGCCTGAAGCACTGGTTTGACTGCCTGAAGAACAAGGACAAGCGGATCGAGCGCTGGCACACTCTTACCAACGAACTCCCGGGGGCTGTGCTCAGTGACTGACAGGCCTCCTCTTCTACCGCAACCAGCCCAGTGTGGGCCTGGCCCTGGGCTTCCTCAACTGCCACAACGGCCTCAGCCCCCACATTGGGGAGGCTCCAGGACAGCTTCTTGACACAGAGCCACTGCAGCCACACTCGCTCGGCAGCCTCCGAGCGCCCAGCTACACTGAGTGACACTGAGCTGGGTGGACAGGACTGTGGCCTCAGCACCTACCTGGAGGAAGGGTTTGAGGCCACCTGGGGCCAAGAACCTCACTAGAAGTTGGCAGTCACAGGGGACCTTAGGCTGAAAGGAGTGCAGGGTGCCCAAAGAGATTAAGGACAGTAGGACAAGACTGAAAAATATTATTCCCCAAAGGAGACCCTGATTACACCCCTTCATCTTTGGTATTAGTGGGCAGGTTGGAAATGCTGACGTGAACGGCAGAGTCTGGTGTAGCTCTGGAGGATCCCGATGAACACTGGCACAACTGTCAAGTGCTACACTGATTCCATGGTCTCCTGGGGCTGAAAGATACCCAGGGCCTGCCCTCAGGGAGTTCCCCAAATAGCTAGAAATAAAACATCACAATGGGGGGTAAGGAATGCCAAGGTCAGTATGACCTACCTACAGGTGCTGTGGACTCTGCTGACTGCTAGGAGGGCAGAGAAGGCTTCCCGGAGTGGAGAGAATCTCAGCAGGACCTTGAGGGGTGAGTGAAGCATCTGTAAGCAAAGGGGAAACAGTGCAGGTGGTGGGAATCATTCACAAAGCCTAGAGGGAAAAAGGTGGTTAGGTCAGGGACAACTTGAGACCCGGGATCTGAAGGGGTAGGTGCTAGAGGTTCAAGATTTGTTGAGGACAGGAGGGGACCCAGTGGCAAAGGCACCCAGCCTTCCCTAGCTGTACCCCACCCCGGCCACCAGCGCAGCCTGAGCTTATGGTAGGGCCGTGGTATAAGAAGGAAGCATGAAGCAGAAACTGATACAGGCAGAGTCAATCTTGGCCCTACATCTACCTGTCCCACCTTCTATCTCATCCCACGGAACCTGAGGGATGGACTCTGCCCCTCCTCCTGAAGCATCAGGTCAGCTGTAATAGAGAAACAGTTCCTTTATACATGAAAACAAATAGTTCTCATTGTCCTCCCTTAACACCCTACCGCTGCTTGGGCCCACCTGTGTTCAGGGATAGATATTAGGGAGACTCAGGTGACTGCCCCTGGTTACAGGGCCACTAGCGGCTTCTGAGCAGTTCTTGGCAGCAGTCCAGTACCTTATTTCTGGAAAGGCATGTGGGCCTGACTGAACCTCAAGTCAGTGTCCAGGAAAGGGTTAAGGACTCCAGAATCCTAGGATCAAACTTAAAGCCCCACATTTTTCCTGCCTACTTTCCATCCAGGAATGCTGGATGAACACAAAAAAAAAGTCTGTGCTCAACCCATCATTTGCACTGATGAAAAACAGAGATCCAGAAATGGAAAGTGACCTGCCCGAGGCCTTCCAGCCCTACTAAAGCTGAGACAGATAAGGTTCCATGGCCCCTGCCCACCCCAGCCCAGAGCTCTACACACTTCACTTCCAGGGATGTAGGTTATTAAGCTCACACACCAGGGGTCCTGTTAGCTGTTTGGGGGTCACCCTTGAGTGGTTTCTACCCAAGCCGATACTAATAGTAGGAGATCCACGGGGCAAGAGTTGGACCTTCTGCAAATACAAAGCACATCACCATCTGAGGCCTGGGGTGATGACTCAAATCCCACCAAGTGCCCATCAGCCCCTTCCCAGTTGCAGGAAAACAAAAGACTCCCGCCCCCCACACAATACCTGGCGACTTTCAGTGGTCATGGGCCTTGGTTTTCTTTTAAGTCTCTGCAATTACATGTGGTGTTAATGAATCTTCACAACGCTATAAAGTGCATTTGTCACCCCTATTACAGATGAGGAAACCAAGATTGAGACTAGAAGTGGTAAATCAAGACAAGCCCAAGTCCTTGTGACTGCCGCAGCCACGGGCTGGCTAGGGGCTGAAATTTGCCTTCCCTTTCCCTCCCTCCAGCTAGGGGCTCAGCAGACACACTCAGATGAGGATTTGGTAAGTTTTGGTGCAAGATGGATGTGGGGCCTCTTCACTAACCTGCTGCCACACCCTCAAGGTGGCTCTGAAATTATTCATGCCACTGAGGACAGCCCCAGAGTGCCTGGGACTCAGACCTTGCCCCGTTCTCAGTGCAGCTGGACTAGGAGATCTTAGACAGACTTAAAATGAAAAGAGGGAATATATTTTGAGGGATCTTGTGTCTAGGTGAGCTCTTGTGTCTTAGTTTTGCCTTTTAGAGGTTAGGTTATCCTTGGGAGAGGTGCCTCTCTATGAAGACATGGAAATATCCAAGTGGCAAAGCAGAAGGGGGTAGGCACGTCCCCTGGACAACTTCCTTGCCAGAGAAACTGAGCCCCAGCAAGTGAGGAGACCTAAACAGGCCCTGCTGAGACGACTCAGGTTTCCTGGCACCCATTACAGTGTCCTCTACTGCCCTAGGCTGTGCTAGGTAGGCTTGGTGGTAAAAGATGGCCCAACCTGATCACAAGGACAGAATGGGGAGGGGTCTTCTAGACCGCCCGCCCAAGTGGAGGTTATACACCCACACCCCCTGGAATAACAACCTTCACCAGGACCCTGGCACTGTTCTGTACACGTTGCAGATGGCATCTGTGAAAGAAAAAGCTCTGTTATCAGCTCTGCCTTTGATCCCAAACTGGCATCTCTTTTGCTGATCCACCATTCCCACAAAGATGGGAAACTGACGCCAAGAAGCTATTCCAAAGTCAGATGCCAGTAACCAGGGGGTCATCCAATGCGCTGCATCCACCGTCCACCCGCCCACGACGACTAACTAGCCAATCCCTGACGGGCCCGTCTTCCAAACCCGAAAGCGGTAGCCTCCTACCCTCTAGCGGCGAGAGCAGGAACTGCGCCTCCCCGGCCCGTGCATGCCCAGCCCTTTTTGTTCCTCCTCCAACCGAGAGAACCTCCCAATGCATGGACTCTGGCTGTCGTTGACGCAGACTCGTGCACTGCTTAACACTGTTTTGCTACCATGTGATGACTGCAGAAACGGTCCTTAAACTGCAGCTCCACACACAATTTTTGTACCCGAAGGTGTCATTTTTAAGTCTTATTTGTTAATATTTATAATGACATAATCCAAAGTAAATGCGTTCGTTGCGATCATACTGGCTTGGGAGGCTTATTTTAATAGAATTGAGTGACTAGAGCCTAGCACATTCTCTTACTTACTCTTCAATAAGAATCCACTGGAAGCAAGCTCCCCATTATGGATGGTGAGACTGACGCTAAGAAGAGTTATTTGTGCAGAATCACAACTGTAAGTAACAAATCAGATTCAACTTATAACATCCCACTCCCCAAGTTATTTTACACCAGGTTCAACATGCATTCTTACTATCACATACTACTCCAAACTGTGTAATGGCAGGTACTGGTCTAGTAACATGCATTCTAACTTTCCAGGTCTCCTGCCCTACTCGGTGAACTACTTGACGCCCTTCCAGTACGTTCTTCTTCTGCTTACATTCACCGGGGACAGTTTTTCTCAACAAAGAATCCTCCTGTCTCTTGCTCGGGTGCTATCTGATCATCTAAAGTGTCTTCTATTTGTGAGGGCTATTCTGAAAACCTGTCACCTTTCTTTTCCTCAGGCACTTACCAACAAAATCATCTTGTGTATGTGTATTCCTTTTTCCCCTCACTAACCTGTCAGGATAGTAGAGGCCACATTGTATTTACCAGAGCAACTTGAGCCTAAACCTGAGTAAAGTAAAGCTGTGCTACTCTGTATTAATGAATGGACAAAAACCGACAGTAGCCATCACTTGAAAGGAAAGAGATCCATGGGTCTAAAGCATATGATGATGTTGAGCACAGATGGCTAAGCACAAGACTCCTATATGCCAGAAGACTGATAGGGTACAGGTCACCCAGAGAAAGGACTACCCAGGTAACATAGGGTTATCCTGAGTAAAGAAAGGAAGAGAATAAGTGAGGAAGGAGAGAAACGGAAGGCAGGCTGAGAACCTCCCTGGTGGCGTAACAAGCTGCAGCACTGTGAAGCTACCCATAGCCACCGCACGAGTTCCATCCCTGGCCAGGAAGCTGACCTACATGGCACAGCAGACTTCTGTCTTGCCTGCTGTTCACCTCAGTGGTGTATTTCAGTAGATCCACCTGTCCTGGTCCCCACTGTCTCTGGTGAGCGTTCTTACCCTCCTTGCCCCATACCTCTGTCCTAGATCCCAATTCTCATATGCATAAATTTTAAAAAGTTATAAAAAGGAAGACTGCTCTAAGTCTTATACTCATCTAATGCGCATAATTATGGAATACTGGATTAAATCCCCATTTGACAGGCTAGAAAACTGAGGAGTATGCTCAAGGAAAATTAAGAAGCAGAGCTGGGATTTGAACCTTTCATTGCTATGCCATACTGCTAAAGCACACGGTGCTCCAGGCCCAATGAGACTACTGGGTCCCTTGCACATTCAGTCCCATTCACCTCCAAGCACCCAGAACTAGCAGGCTTCTGCTTTAGCAGGAAAGATTTTCCAGGACTCACCTTTAGGGCCCCTGCTCTCATGTCTTCAATGAATGTAGTACTCATCTTTTCTCAACGGAATTCCATCTGTCAGAATCCCAATACTCCGGTTTCCCCTGGCCACAGACAACTGAACTGGAGATGTGCAACTGTGGTGAACTACTGTATGGTTTCCCAGAACTGTGAACAACAGACTACTACATTATGGGAAAGTCACAAACAAATGAGATGCCAGGGTGTGAGAGTCTTCCGGGATTTCCTCTCCACCGCTTGTTAAATTCCACCCTCCCTGCCCCTTCTAACTTTCTCAGCTTATTCCCAAGCACATAAATGACCCAAAGTGGTAGCCTTGTGGCTAGGTGCTCCACCACTCCCTAAGAACATTTCCTGACTCTTAAATTCTCAGATG